AGAGGGGAAGGGGAGGAGGAGAGGAGGAGGGGGAGAGGGGAAGGGGAGGGGGAGAGGAGGAGGGGGAGAGGAGGAAGGGGAGGGGGAGAGGAGGAAGGGGAGGGGGAGAGAGGAAGGGAGAGGGGGAAGGGGAGGGCCCGCCTCTGCCTTCCAAGTGCTGGGTTTAAAGGCATGAGCCAACTGCCCGGCGATTATGATCGATTCTTGAAGGGTAGTGAGCATGATGAAGAGGGTCAGGCCAGTCTGCATTGCACAGGGCAAAATGGCCTCCCTCCCCAGCCTTGTGGAGAAAGGGATGGAGGTGAGGCGTTTGGGAAGGTTATAAACTGTGAGTAGCATCTGGGCCATAGTTAGCGTTTACTAAACACAACCTCTTATTCTGTCTATGTACTTCAGAAGCTGCCAACAAACTGTTAGGCCTGTGGCATAAGCTGCAGTTATATTTTGCCTTGAGATAAAGTCACTGGTCACTGTCTTTACATGTTCTGTCCATTGAACTGTTGTTATTTCTCCAAAGTGAACTTGATAGACAGCTCAAGCAACAACCTGCAAGTTTTCTCGGGGCCTGACAGCTGGACTTCCTTGTCGTCTACACCCCACGCCAGCATCCTGTCTGTACCCCACACCAATGGGCCAATCAACCCAGGGCCCAGGTAAGAGCAGTGCTAGGACCTCCTCACAGGGGGACTTGGAGATTTCCTTATCTTTGAGGACTCTGTGCATTGCTTCCAGGATGTGTCAGTTTAAATCACTGTTCTGACATTAAGCTAATGGATGGGTCTTGTGCTGTTGGAGTAAGGGCGGAAGGAAAGCCCCTGTTCAGCAATACACTCTTCTTTATTTTATGGCTACATCATTTATGGGTTGGGTCGGCGATGTAATTGGTCTGTCTCTCCAGGCTTTGGACCGGGGAGCAGAGTTGAGAGGCGAGACTCTGGGATATAAGCCTGGCAGAAAACACCAATGTACGGAGTACAGTGAGCTTGGCGTTGCGTATTTGCCTTTAAATTTAGTCTTTACAACAATCTCTGTGGTATGCAGAACTGTTTCTTCAATTTTTGAGGATGTAGAAGGTGGGACTCAGAGATAGAAAGTTATTTGACCGAGGTCACAGAGCTAATGGTGGCAGAAGAGTCATAGCCAAGGACTTCTGGAGGCAGTGTCCCGCTGGTCTATCACACATTCCCTGCCTTGGCCACAGTCCAAGTCTCTTCCATTCACAGTTTTAACTATCTTAGTCAGTTGTGAGGGAGTCTCAGAGAGATGAAATGCTGTTTGAAATTGGTAATTTATTACTAGCAGGGTCAGCACCAGAATCTAGGCCGTTTTTTCCTTTCTTATTTACTATATCTATATTTCACTGGGTCTCTTGGATTTCTGCAGAAATAGAGACACAGTCACTGCCAGAAGTCCTCTCTGCAATATCGTTGCCCCACTCCTCAACAAATGCGTGCTTGTTGGTAGCGTTTTGTTGCTGAAGTATCATCACCGATTCCTCTCTCTCCATTTCTGCAGCCCCTATCCGTGCCTGTGGACCATCAGCAATGGCGGTGGGGGCCCCGTGGCATCCGGCTCAGAGGTGCACGCCAGCACCTCAGGAACATTTCTCCTTGGGAACCCCGCTGTCACTTCACCTTCCTCTCTGCTCCCCACCCAAGCAACCGCTTCAGCTGGTGTGGAGGTCTTGGGGGAGCCTTCACTGACCAGCATTGCTGTGTCCACCTGGACAGCGGTGGCTTCACATCCCCTCCCAAGCTGGGGTGGACCAAGTGGAGCTGGGCGCCATTCCCCCTCTTCATTGGATAGTTAGGCGGGATTCTAGGAGCCGCTGCCAGCAGAGAGCCCTCTGTGTGTGTGTGCATAGCAACCTCATTGCTGATTCCAGGGAGTTGAGCTGCAGGGTCTCTTCACCCAGAGGCCTGAGGGGGAGTGGGGGGTGCATAGTGATGCCCAAAAGCCTCCTGAAAAGCGGTTTAGTCTGAGTGATACTGATGTTACTACTTTTGTCTCTCACCATTTCCTGTAGTTCTCCTGCTTTCTCTGAGTTCATTGATCTTCCTCATGCTGAGGTTGCAAAGTCAGCTTTGTCTATGTACCCTCCTTGTGCCCTGCCCCTTACTCTCAAGCCGTTCTGGGAAGCCTCCCTTCCTTTTTTCCTGGAGTCAGTGCATGGTATTGAGGAGAGCTCACATTCTGCCTGTTTAGGCTGCTGCCTCTTAGCTTTGTGCAGTCTTGGAAAGTGTGCGTGGCCCTAAGACCTGAACTGGCTTCTGCTTTGAGACATAGAGAAGCCCACAAAGTTAACCAGAGTTAGCCAGAGCTAAAGTCAGTCCTGTGCTGTTAACAGAAAAGAAAATGAGGCTGCGCCCTCACTAGCTCATAATCAGTGGCTCCCATTGCCTACTCTAAAGACAGCTGCTACCATTCGGCCTTCCTCCGTGCCTCCAGCTTTGACTCCTGTTAACCTTTTAGCACCTTCTACTACAAGGAGAGCAGACAGCTCTCCTTGGTCTGAACTCTTGCTTCCTGTGCCTGAAGCAACCTCCCTCCTGTCCCTCCTGTGTGAATTGTACCAGCTTGGCCAGGACTGGTTGAAAGTCCACTCTGATAAATCACCTGAGGTGATGTTTGATTATCTCTGTGCCCTGCTTTCCCGCCATTTTTACCTCAGGCATAGAGCTCACCTCATTCTACCTTACATTTCTGCGAGTGTATCTGTCTCCCGCCATAGACTGTAAGCCTCTCCAGGGTGAGAGCTAGCCCCCCACATCGTACCCATAGCCCCTGGTACTGTGCCTTGACTACTGTAGGTGCCCAATAAACATCTGCTGAGTTGAGTTGGTATGACACATGTGTTTGTCAAAAGGACTGTGTGGGGTTGACTGGGGGGGGGGAGCGGAGAAGTCTGTCACTAGCCTGTGATACAGAAGCAAGTCATTGTTGGAAGCCAGGGGCATGCTGGTCACTCAGTCTCGTCATCTGAGGCACAACCAGTTCTGTGATTGTTAATAATCCATGGGGATGAGCAAGCTTGAGTCTTTATGTACAAACACAGCTCCTTGTGTTTGCTGTGCTGGGATCCCCTGGAGCACAGATAGACCCCTGAGTATATCCTGTATCTGTGGGAATAGAACCTCTGGGCTGAGATTCAGGAAGTTGTACTTCCAAACTCCTGGGAAGTTGTTGAAGAGCCAAGTAGGAGACCATTTATTTCAAACAGAGGAAGAGTTGAGGAATATTCAGGTCCTTAGTTCATGAATTTCAACTTCTACCCCAACCCAGGTCATTGCTGGAGTCAGTGAGCACAGGCATCCCCTCATTCATCCTGCTCTAACCCACTGCTGGCTGCGTGCTTTCCAGACCTGAGTGTTTCACACATCGCCATCAGAGTACACTGACTGAGCAGTGCCAGCTGTCACTGAGGGAGCTCCAAGCTCCACCACAGGCCCGGTGGTCGTACCGCTACCCTGTCAGCTGGGCTGCCTCCACTCTAAAGCTCAGGGTGCCATGTGTGGCATTGCTGGGTCTTTGGCTCTCCCTATAACATGTGACTAATTGAGGGTCGTTTTTAAAAAGACCTCAGATCTCTGGAAACAATAATACTCCAGCTACGTGGTTTCCTGGGAAGCCATGTTACTCCAGTTGGGGATGCTGGGCTAGAGCTCTGGGCCACTAATTGGTGTGAATGACTGAGGCAGGCTATCCTCATGTGACTATTATTCGAAAGGATATTCCATTCTCATGCTCCCATGGCCATACTGTGCCCAGGTCCCCAGGGTATCTGTGACATCATTAGACAACATTAAGGTCTTAAGGCATTGTCATCTCTGCCAGGTGGTATTTTTGTAAGTTTTTTCTTTTTTGTAAGTTTTAAAAAGTGGCCATAGCTTCTTCTGTCAGAACTTTGAGTGACACCCGCTTCCAGTTCCAGATGAAGAAGGCCTTGCCTCAGTTGCTGTAACCATACCTATGTACCAACAGATGCACGTGTGCATGCCTGTATATTTGTCTACATGTATTAAAATATGAAAGCACATCTTCACCTTTCCCAGACCTCCTGGCCTTGAGCAAACAGAATGTACTGTCAAGAGGCTTCAGACAGCAAGAATCCAATTACCTTCATTCTGTTTTCATTCATTTTGCCTGGGGGGGTCCATCCTCGGCAGAGCCCCACGGTGTGCAGCCGCTGAGTGAGAGATCTCATCAGCATGGTGGGATGCTCGGCTTGGAAGCTGAGATAATTCATATGTGCAGTTACTTGCTTCTGCATATAGGAACTCCTTGCAGTTAGCTAGCGAGCCAGAGCCAGACTTTTGGGTCTTCTCTCTAAACACTCAAGGGCTAATTTGTGCTTGGGAAGAACAATACTATTTCTTGAAATTGGTTTAATAAAATGGTATCTGATATGTTAGGTGAACTTCGGAGCCAGCATGCTGTTTTCTCACTCCCATGTTTTTTTATCCAGATAAAACGAAACCTGCACCGCATCAAGTTTTCGGTCCTGTTGTGTGAAATTTGAGGAGATGAAATCCCACCTGGGTAGAAAGAATTACACAATTCTTCTAGCTACAGAGCAGATCTGACTCTTCCCTATTCAGTTTCATTCTCTACTCTCATCCAAAGCCTGCTGCTACCTTTCTGGCTTTTATTTGGGCTGGTGAGACCTTAACAACTTTTCTCTCATGCCGGGCAGGGGCAGTGGTGGTGCATGCCTTTAATCCCAGCACTTGGGAGGCAGAGGCAGGCAGATTTCTGAGTTTGAGGCCAGCCTGGTCTACAGAGTGAGTTCCAGGACAGCCAGGACTACACAGAGAAACCCTGTCTTGAAAAACAAAAAAAAAAACCAAAAAAACCCCCCAAAAAAACCAAAAAAACCAAAAAAAACCAAAAAAACCCTCCAAAAAACAAAACCAAAAAACCCTTTTCTCTCATTGTGAACCTGTGGTCCACCTACCTCTGCATCTTGTGTTGGAGCCAGTTGCTACAGGGATCTGCTAATCTCCTTCCCATCACTCCGTGGGCACCTCTTGAACTTGGAGGAAGTTGTGGAGAGGCAGAATGTGAGGGGGTATTGTTTCCATCACCTGAGCTGTTGACAAGAAGTCTCAGTAAAGTCTCTTTTACAAAATACATCGTGTGTCACCTTGGGGAGGGACCCCCTTTTGATGAATCACCTCTACGAGAGTGGCCTGTGGGCAGTTCTGTGGGGACATTTTCTCAGTTGATGATTGTCATGGGAGGGCCTGGCCCACGGAGAGAGGTGCCACCTGGACAGGTGATCTTGGGATGTACAAGAAAACAGGCTGAGGAAGCCATGGAGAGCAAGCTAGTCAGTAACTGTCCACTAATACATAAATAACCTTATCAATTTCTGATTTACAAGCCACAAAACTTGCCTGTTTAAAGTGTTTATGTTACTGATGTTTGAAGTCTTTATTATACATATTATTTACATAGGAGTGTTGGGGGACATATGTGCCATGGCTTTATGCGTGGCCAGGGGACAGCTTTTGGGAATTTATTCCCTTTAGGTCACCCCTGGGTAGGTGGTCCTGGGTTGGATGAGAAAGCAGGTGGATCAAGCCATGGAGAACAAGTGAGAAGACAGGATGCCCTATGGATTCTGCTTCAGGTTCTGCTCCCACATTCCTGCTTTGAGTTCCTGCCCTGACTTTCTTCAGTGATGGACTATTATCTAGGTGTTGTAAGATGAAACAAACCCTTTTCTCTCCCAGGTTTCTTTGGGTCATGGTATTTATCACAGTAACAGAAGAGAAATGCGGTGAACAGAGGGTCATATCACTTCTCTAACTTAAACCCTCAACCACTGGGACCAGCAGCACCCACCTGTTCCAGTTCATAGAAAACTGTGGAATTCCTCTTCTCTCTCATGAGTTACTGCTGCAGCCCTGAATGCTGTCTCGAAGAAATTATCATTAGCAATTTTTAGCCTATGCTGGAAGGAGTGAAGCTCTGGGGATCAACTCTTTCAGTTAGTGGTGCTGCCCATATCCCAGTCACTACACAAGCCCATGTTGGGTTCATACGCGACTTGGAACTCCATGGTAGGCTGGACCTGCCCACATCAGTCGTTAACGAAGAAAATACTCCCACAGAGGGGAGCACAGGCTGGCCCTGTGGCTGAAATTGCTCATTTGAGGTTATCTTTCCCCAGGTGATTTTAGTTTGTGTTATGCTGACAAAAACTAACCAGCTCATCAATACACACAAACTTGCTGCAGCCCAGCCTCCAGTGTTTGCCTGTATTTTATGCTATTTAAGAACGACTCTCTGAAATGTCTTGAAGTTGGACTGCTGAATTGACTTGCTAGTGTTTATTGAGCACTTTGCATGTGACAGTACTGTGTTAAGTACTTTCCACGCATTATCTAACTAAATAGGTTTGAAAGGTACTTAGCATTTTTAAATGGCTTTATTAATTTCTAATTTGCAAACCAGAAACTTTTAGACCTTTAAAGTGTTTAAGTTAGTGATATTTAATTTTTAAATTATGTTTTATTTATATGTATGTGTTGGAGGGAAGGGCACATGTACTGGACGCTGTATGGAGGTCAGAGGAGTACCTTCAGGAGTCAGTCCTCTTCTGCCACACGGGTCCTGGGGACTGAGCTCAGGTTGTCAGGCTTGGCACCAAGCACCTTCCCTTACTCATTCATCTTGCTGGCTTCAGTTTATAGGTTTTTAAAGCCCGTTTACAGAGGTGAACAACCAACATTTAATTATGAACCATTTTCATCAGCCTATTAAGATAACTTACTTCTATTGGTTGTCATCCCTACTTCCTTCCGGTTTCTCTATAACTCCCAGCCCCAGGCAGCCATGAATGAATGCGCTTCCTCTATAGACTTCCCCATCCTGGATGCTTCATGGACACTGACTCATGTGACTCTGGTGACTTTCCTGGATAGCTTCTTTTACTCAGTGAGTAAGTTTAGAGGCTCGTTGGTGCAGGATGGACCAGCATCCCCATTCCACTCCTGATGCAGGGCACACCAGCATCCTGGTTCATTGATGCAGGGCACACCAGCATCCTGGTTCATTGATGCAGGACACACCAGCATCCCCTGAGGCAGAGCACACCAGCATCCCCTGATGAAGGACACACCAGCATCCCCTGATGCAGGATACACCAGCATGCCCGTTCCTTTCTGTGCAAATAATATTTGGTCATATAAACATGTACCATGTTCACTCTTTCATTTACTTGGTTAATGGGTATTTGATGTCACTTTTTGAATATTTGTGTGTAAGTTCCTTTGTGGCCTAGAGGTTGCCAGCTCATTCTCCATCATTCAGATGAGGAGGGAGACTCAGAAAGCTGAAGTGGGCTTCCCAATGCCATACAACTACTAGGATGCTGGACTCAGACTTCCAATGGCAGAGTTACACGTCCTGGCACACAACTCAGTGTCATTGCTGTATTGGGGTGGGGGGACCCAAGCAGGGGTGGTCACATGACTGCAAGTACCTCCCTTAGCTTCTCACCATATCAACTCGGGTCTCTAGGGATACTCTAAATAAAACAAAGGGCCTGTTCCTTGGGGATAAACTTGTTAGAGGAAGCAAGAAAGTGGGAGGCAGAGAGGTGGCCATCTGAGCAGAGCCACAGGGGCTGCAGATTTCAGGGGCCTGGTGGCAGATGGCTGGTTCCAGGAAGGACTTATATGGCAGGAAGTTTCCCAGAATCCCTTTGGGGCAGGTTCTGGTAAAAACTAAATTTCCTGGAACAGTAGACTATGGAGTTTGAGTTCATTATAATTTGGATTATTAATGAAAATGTGATCTCAAAGCTTGCTTAGTGAAGCTTACAAATATTAATTATAACTAG